AAAAAAATACAAAATTTTAATTTAAGTGTTAGGTTAGTGTGACAATAATTACAATTTCTTTGTTGCAAAAAACTTTTAACTGTAGGATACAAAATATATATAATTTCTTCAACTAAAAAATAATTCTTGATATTTTTGAAATTATTTTCTAATTAAATTAATTTTAATTGGTTGATTATCATTTAGTATAACATAAAATTATTTAATAATTTAATAAGATATTTGTTACACCCTATTTAAATTTGAAGATAATATAATGACATTAAATTTGTAGCTCATATTAACTATTTCAAGTTATATATCTATATGAAAGCTATCCTTATATGTTTGGTACTTGATTGAGATCATCTAAGATCATATAATGGGAAGAACCTATGGACTATTATGATAATAAAATTATTTAATAATTTAATAAGATATTTGTTACACCCTATTTAAATTTGAAGATAATATAATGAGATTAAATTTGTAGCTCATATTAACTATTTCAAGTTATATATCTATATGAAAGCTATCCTTATATGTTTGGTACTTGATTGAGATCATCTAAGATCATATAATGGGAAGAACCTATGGACTATTATGATAATATTTGTATAATTACATTATTCTTCTTGATTATTTTTTTTTATAAGTTATACAGCTTTTTTTTCTTTAATATAATTTTCTGTCTTACATCAATAGGTAAAATCATGGGGACATAATACATTTAGCACATAAAAAATGAAATTTATTAAATTCATCATTTAATTTGAAGTATTTGAAATTAATATTATTTTCAAGTACTACAAAATTTCTCAAAACTTATTAAAAATGATAAATTTCTCATGTTTAAAATAAAAAATATATATATTTCTTAACTTAAAACAACCAAATAAACCATAGTTTTTTATTCAAAATTTTGGAATTTAGATTAAGGCTTCATTTGGGACAACTTTCCTGTTGCTTTTTAAAGTAATAATTTTTTAATAAAATTTTTTTTTAAAAAGCATTAAGAAAGTTGTCACCAATAAAATCTAAGGCTTCACTTGGGGCAATTTTTTATCACTATTTTTTACTTAAAAAAAACATTATGCTAAATGATGAAAAGAGTAAGAAAATTGATTCAAACGTAACTTAACTTTCTATGCTTTTTCATCAAATTCAAGGATTAATTATTCTGTGCGAAAGCCAAACGTCATTCGGAGACCAATCATAATTCGCCATGTCACTCCACTGTGTACCACGGCTCGGTGATGCTCGATACCGCTGACGTGGTTGCACCTGATTCACCTCCAGACGTAGAACTACATACATCCTCCACAGAATAATTTCTCCAAATCAAGAGCCAATTCTTTCTTTCTTTTTTCAAACGGAACTTTGACTATGATTTCTTGGGGCCAGGTTGAACAACTCGAACGTCAGATCACGTGGGAGGAACAAATACCCTCAACCGCCGTGCCATAGCACCAGCCGCAACTATGATTTCAAGCTTATTTCAAAGTGCATGTGCATGCTGTCGTGTGCATGCATGATAAATATTATGAATATATTTGCTTAATACTTCAACTATGACTTCATGTTTTATAAGACTTTGGAATGAAGACATTAAATAAAGTTGGATATCTGACTGATTATTGTTTATTTTGTAGCAAATGGTGACCGCTATGTGATGTATGTACTCCTTAATTGATTGAAAAGACAGGCAAATGGCTGCGGAATTCTTTTACATTGCTTTGATTTGTTTGTTTATTTATTTTATTTTCTTGTAGGCGGGATTATGCAAGCAAGGGCGGAACCAGTCTTAATTCTTAGGGAGGGCAAAATTAGAAAAAGATAAAAAAAATATTTATAACAAAATTCAAACAATATATTATATTGTAATAAAAATTACAAACTTTGTATTCTATTTTACATCTTCTGATAATGTTGCATTATAACTTCATTTGGAATCAAATCAAATACTTTTTTCTCAATATATGACACTAGATAGTCGTTCAGCCAATCATCACCCATTTTACTGCGTAATCTATGTTTAACAATTTTCATTGCTAAAAAAACTCTCTTGACTGTAGCGGTGGCAACGGGCATAATGCGAGTGATAAAGAGGGAATTAATTTTGTTAATTATGAGGGGATGAATCTATATTTAAAAAGGGGAAATTGGGCTCTTAATGCCAATGAGAGCAGGTTTATTGTAAATTTTTCATGCCAAAACATAATGCGTAACATTAGATGTGAGAGAATATTTTAATGATTGAATATCTATACATATATTATTAATTACAAATCTTTTATTTACTAATTTAATATTTTAATTAAAGGGTTGTTTTATTTGAAGAAAAATGGGATAAAGTATTCCAAATATGTAACAGTTGTGAGAATAATGACGTTTTATTTAAAGTGAAATAAATGCAGTGCAAAATTTTGGAGCATTTAGAATTCACCTCTAATTCAATTCTGATGCGTTTGAAATTTTTTGGATTTGCACGTTACCCAAATACAATATAAATTCATCGTCATTAATGCTACTCGCCGACGGCTGCCTCCATCTCTGGCCAACACCACCGAATGCCGATTTTGTCGACCACCATCTCCAACCGCCATCTACCACCTCTGACCTTCACCACTGCCACTGCCACCCTATCGCTGCTAGCCATAGCCACCGGCCACATTGCCACCCACTGGCGACCACCTATTGCTAACAACCACCATCGTCCTGCCATCGGCCACTGACCACCATCATTTTTGGATTTTGCGCTGCATTCACTCTATTTCAAGAAAAAAAATTATCTGCATTTCTTTACACATCAAAAAACAACTTCAAAACATTTCAAATACATTACATTCCTTTTTTAGCCGATCAAATAGCCCTTAAGTGTGAATGGCTCTTCTAAAAAGAGAAAATGTTATAACCCAACCCAATATGACATACATATAGAATATATCATACCGTGTTGGATGGTGACAGACCAAATCCAAGACATAAATTTTAAAGATTTTTTTCAAAAATTTTAATTTAAAATATACTAGAGAGCTAATAATTAACTTCCACTGGACATAAGATAAATACATCCATATTTTTTTTTTCATTCATCTTCAAAATAAATATATTACAAAAATTTATAAACAACCGTGGATAGCTACAACTCAAAACAAAACAAATAAATAAATAATCATGATCGTATAAAAATCTATGAATAGGAAAGTACCTATACTGATTTAGACATATCAAAACCTACAACCTCAACTACACAACTGACTCTTTACCTTTTTCCTGGCCTGAAATAGAATGTTGAACATGTGTGAGCTAACAACTCAGCAGGTAACATCCATCAATCTAAACTTTCAACAAATAACTTATTATGTATTTAGCCATTTAAAAGTAGTTAACAACAAAGTTATTATACTGCAAAATATTGCTTGCAGATAATTAAAATATAACAGACTTTACATTCAAAATAAACAAATACTTCATACATCAAAATAGTAAGTAACAGATTTCCCTCGGTCACTTATACCTCCCATCAAAAATAAATATCAGAATTTAGTCCCCTGGTCCCTTATAACTCCCTTGAGCTAGTGTATCAAAAATAGGCCATAATAACTCCCAACGCTTAGCATATATTAGATATACAGAAATTCATGCCCTTATAACTCCCGGTGCATTTAATGCAACAAAAATACCTTCAACATCAGATCTTCACATAATCATATAATTCAAGCAGTTAAGTGCATATATAACTGCATTGTGATAAAAAAATATCAATAAACCAATTTCAGATGTTCGCATAACGCTTACTAGTAGACAATAAATTCAACTAAATTTAATTTCACAGCTTAAGAATTTTGTCATATTACCAAGGATTCTTTAGAATATTATTGCAAAAGTGTAATTATACTATAACCTTAATTTTTAGGATCATAATATTTTCTAATTTACTAAAAATAATGCTCTTTTCAAATTATTTGATGAAAATTTTCAAGAAAAATACCTACATGTCGAAAATGATCATATCAACAACATACAGAAAGATATACAGTGAAAGTTAAGCATGTGTGAGGTTATCCTCATTTTTACACTATGAAATTACAATTTAATAAAAAAAACCAAAATTTTCATATTTTAAAAAATTAAGATAAGTATAATGTAACTTACATTTATCCGAAGAACTTCCCAAATTGGACCGACAACAGAAAATAGACTAAATCTACCCGAGACCAAATAGATTATACCTAGGTTTCTATAGATCAATTTGGGCAACAACTAATCGGGTTAGAGCATGGAATGTATGTCCACTACGACCATATGATGCTCCAACACCAACAACAATATCATCTATTCTGAATATGTAATGAATTAAAATGCATGTATTGCTTATAATAGGGTTTAATGTTTATTATATCCATGTTATTTTTATTTTCTCCAAACTTAAGTTAATATATGTATAGGCCTTACATAAATTCAAAACATAACATAATCTTGAACCTACAGATGGACTAGAAGAACAATTAGAAAACTTAGAACGTAATATTGTCATGCATAGACATATGGTGATAGGATAATGAGGTCTTAAGGAGATAATTTAATTAGAGTTAGTAAAGATCCTAGCTTATGTTTCGACGAGTTCGACACAGCCAAAGAATACAATTGCTCTGATCCACAACAATCATAAGAATTAACCCTCTCTAATGCAACCATATTCCTTTTAAGGATTCATAGGTTCGGAATTGTATAAAAATTAGAAAACTTTTATTCTTGCATTTTATAGCTTGTTATTTTTAAATTGTCAACACCTTTTTCATTAGTTCACTAGATAAACCTAGCAATCCAGTAAACATTAGTTAATTGAACGTAAGTTAGTTCTAGTTTGTTCCTCGTGGGATCGACACTTTATTTATCATTTTATTACTTGATATGATGACGTCCACTTGTGTTTTAAATAGGATTCACACTGTAGACAAATTAAACTTCTTTTAAAAAAATTGAGCAGTGTGTGTATAAGCTTAAACACAAAATTCTGCATTTGCATCAATTAGATAATACTGGTAGTAATACTTGCCATTATATTATCCTATCATGTGTGTGTACAAACAAAGCACTCAAAATTTTACCATGTAGAACTAATGCAATCTAATTTATTATTTATACCCATAAACAATTTTGATATTCAGAAGAAAAAAAAAATTAAAGTGAACTAAAAACTTCTGGACCACGTGAAGGAGGCTTACATTAAATATCGAAGAGTCATTTTTCTTTACAAATTCTATCCATTCAGCAGCAGCATCTTTCCATCACAGTTAAAATATGCTTGCTAACTATCTGCCAAAAGAAAAATAGATGTAATGATTGTTAAATCATCAAATCATGGTAAACAAAAAACCAAATGAAAAAAAAAACAAAGATTCTTACCAATATGATCAACAACACAACGACAACAACATCAAGTCTTTGACCCACAACCTGAGGTCAGCTACATGAATTTTTTTTTCTCCATTGTATCCTGTTAAAAGTTAAATTCTCATTTAAATCTAATAAAATCATTTCTAATATTTTATAACCAAGTCTTTTTAGGTCTGCCTCTACCTTACTTTTCTTAACAAAAGTCAAATCTAATACCTCTATTTTCCTAACTAGGTCATCGGAAGGCCGCCGTTTTATATGACCAAATCATCTAAGGCAACTCACTCTAATCTTATCTTCCACTGGAGCTACTCCAACCTTTCACGTATATGCTCATCTCATATCCTGTCTCTAAGGTTAAACCCACTCATCCATCCGAGCATCCTCATCTCTACAACACTAAATTTAGTATTATGCTTCTCTTTTAATGGCCAACATTCGGCATCATAAAGCATCGCAGGTCTCACCAACATGATCAACAACATCTGTAATTAGAAACAAATCAGACTCGTTTAAAAGAGCAAGCACCACCTCTTTTAACTGTGGAGGTAGTAAAATGCAATGCGGGTATCAATCTCAATGATAAAATAATAAGCAGATGTTCAAGAAGTTCCATAACGAACCAAAGAATAGAATAAAATCATTTTTAATTGAATAAAGTAAAATTAAAAAGTGATTTGTTTAATTTTATCATGCAACTTTAGTATCTCTAGTGACCACTATTTCATAACAACGGGAAGTATTACATAAATTTAACAAGACACAATAAATGGAGATGTTATGACATTAAGCATTGCTGCCGGTTTATCATAAACTTGACCTATATGCTAGGTATTTTGAAAAAGTTTCTCAACTCAAAAACTGCACATTATCTGAATTTAAAAATTTCATTAGAAGAATTAATTAAAAATGAGATGATCAAAGCTATAAGATATGGCATAAATGATAAGATGGCAGGGTAAGTAGTGATTAGAAACAATATCTTCAAGCATGTAAATTTGATTGCTCAAAGATAGTAAGAAAACGCAAATAACATAACTTTATAACCCAAAGGATGCCATAAAAGATATTCCAGTTTTCTAACTTTTCTAAATTAGCTCCAATATCTTCAAGGCAAAACACTTTGATGTAGATGGAAGGAGAGCTTACTCATGATAATATAAGGATGACATGATAATGAAGATGATGGTATTATTCAAGAGAATAATAAAAGAATATAAAGATAACTTTGAGGGAACTTACCAAAGAATCCCAACAAGAGAAAATCACCAAGCTTTTCCTATCATGCAATAAATATCTCAGCTTTTAGCTATTGTACCAAATGATATAGATGAAAGGTTAGCTGCCTAAGATAACATAAATATTACATTATTAGAAAGATAAAAATAATATTAACATTCAAATGATAATAATAATATAAAGAAAGATAAAAATAATATTTATAGGGAATTCACCAAAGAACTCTAATAAGCCAAGATTCAACTTTCATTGCATGCAAGCAACGTCTCATATGATTTCAACCTAACATGATCATCATACAACTCACTCTATATTTATAAGCATTAATACATATTATTACATAATTTCATGAACAAATAAAGAATGACTAAATATTTATAATTTGATTGCATAATTGATGGACATCTTGCTTAATTAAAAATATTCTTAATTATGATATTGATGAGGACATCCGGCCATGGAAAGCTTATCAAAGGAAGGGCCGAAGATCTACGACTACAATTAGATTACTCTATTTATGAACATATATTTGTATTTGATTTATTATGTGTAATTTTTCATTTTTAGCCTCACTTGAGTGAGGAAGTAGGTTTATGTGACTCCAAGGGGCACTTTTGTCATTTGATGTTTTATTGTATTTTGTTTATTTATAGGCCTCACCTCCTCCTTGGGAGGATAATGATTATTATGAATGAAAATTTATGCACTTTGTATCTAGGTGTGTTTGAGAGCATTGAGAGTTCTTGTGAGGGAAAAACAAGACCCGTCAGCTACAGGAGGGCTCACGATTTATCTCCGCCTCCACCCCCATTAAGCTTGCCTCCACCGTCATCTCCACCCAAAGCTCCAACCGACCACCCCCTTTCTCCTCCTAGCCTTGACCATGCACAAACTCTCTTCCCCATCAATAAATATGAAATTTAAATGAAGAATCCTCATTAATTCTCTTTCTTAAATTAGCCTAGCTTAATTTTTGGAAATCTGAATTCAAAATTTAAATTCTCCTTGAGCCTTGAATTCCTTTTGATGAGGACATTGACAAACGCTACCGACATGTTTATCGATGACGGAATCGCAGATCGACGGCCATGATTCAGCGCCTCTACTTTTGATTTCAGATGTCATGATGTATTATTTAGTTATTTAATGTTTTCCGTTTTTACCCCTGTGGGGAGTTGTTTGTTATTGTAGCCCATATGGCAATTTCGTACTTTTCTTTTTCATGAGTGGAGACCTATATATAGTGATCTCATTTGTTGTATTTGGTTAATGAACATTTTGGAATGAAAACTTGTTTTGTTATCTTCTTCTTGTGGTACACTAGAGAGGAGAACAAGAGCCCTAGGTGAGGGCGAAAGCTAGGGCTGCAAACGAACCGAGCCGAGCCGAGTATGTGAGTGTTCATGTTTGTGTTTGTTTAACATTAGCTTGTTCATGTTTGGTTCGTGTTTGATTAGAGCTTTATTATTTGTGTTCATGTTTGGTTCGTTTAATTTAAGGGTGTTCATGTTTGGTTCATGTTTGGTTCATGTTCGTTTGTTTAGTGCTTATCGAGCTTTAAACAAGCTATGTTCGTGAACATATTTCGCAAACAATCTATTGAACAAGCAAACCATAAATTTGTTCATGAACATCCTAAACAAACAATCTAACAAACATGGACAAATATGAAATGTTTCTTGTTATTAATATAAAATAATTATATTATTATGTTATAATTAAAATTTTTATATTATGTATATTTATCATTTTTATAATAACGTATTATTTAAGTTTTTATTGAGCGGTTTTAATCGAACCCGAATCGAGCTTGTTCATGAACATCAACTGATGTTGTTCGCGAACATAAACGAGCTGAACGCATTAGTGTTCA